AATTCGTACAAATCGAGCTCGAACCACTACTACTCGGGCTCGGCTCGACTCGAATAACAGCTCTACTCAGTTAGTCGAATTTATTATATAATTATTAATTCTTATAAGAATCAACAAAATCTAAATTTAATTAGTAATCCACTAAATTTCAAGTATAAAATATTATCTAAGTGTAATTTCTAGTTTATTTATGAATTTTAAGTGCAAAAGGTTATTAGAAACAATATTTGCTTTAAAATGAATTGTGTAATATGTTATTTTTTAAATCCATTTAATAACTTATAGAGTTTGGGGAATAATAAAATTCTATTAAAAGATTCCAAACAAATTTTATTTTGGAGAAATAAAATAAGAATAAAAGTCTAATACATAATATAAGAAGGGCTAAACAACCAATAAATGGGTTGTTGGTCCAGTGGTGATTACACTACATGTATACATGAGGTCCCATGTTTGAACTATCATTTCAACATATTTTCAAAACTTTTCCCATAACAATATGCTAGATCTAGGTTCTTTACAAAATCAACCGGTTCATCGGGTTGACTGATTGAACTACCAGTCGGTTGACAAGTCAACGGATTTATTACTTAAACAATCCAATTAAAGACCCAACTTGGCTCAGTTGCTGGTTCACTAGGTTGATCAGTTGAACCGTCAGACTCAATTTCAGGTTCACTGAGTTGATCGATTGAACCGTCGGGCCAAATTGGATTTAATAACAATGCTCTGTATAATACACAACTAAGTAATGTTTGTGTTTGAGTAGAACTCTCATGAAGCTTGGTTGTCATTGTCAAGTTATTTAATGAGTAGTTGGCACAAGACTAGCTTGTTGTTCAGTTTATATCCTTATCACTTTTTAGGAGATTAATATCGGTGGATAATCTGTCCTTATCTTAATATGGGGTTAAAGCACACCTAGTGTAGTCAAATGTGGTCCCCAATCTCATTTCAAGTTATGTTATTTATTCTAGTTCTTTTATGTTAGCTTTTTTGTATCATTGTGAAAGACAAATTACTAAAAAGTGGTTGTTTTATTGCTTCTCATTGAACAGAAAAGGAGAAATCCAAGGAAAAAATAGACATACATATGTATTTTGGTGGGAGATTTAGAGAAAAACCAACTTTCCATTACACCGGAACCCATATGGCCATTTTCAAAGAAAGAGTTGAAGATCCAATATCCACAATTAGCCTATGCAGAAAGCTTAAAAACATAAATGAGTATGCAACTAGAGTAACTTTTTGGTTTCGAAGATTAGATATCCACAATTGGCCTATGCAAAATGCTTAAAAACGTAGATGAGCATGCAATTAGAGTAACATTTTGATTTCATAGCCCAACAGTTGACTTGGATTGTGGCCTACATCCAATTAGAGACAATGACGATATTAAATTGGTAAATGCAGCCTATTGGAAGCTACCAACAAGGCTAATTTATGCTTGCAGTGGGGATGAGTCATTTGAAAAAGACCCTGAATATGGTGGGATAATTGATGGTACAACTACTAACTGGTGACTCAACAATAAAAAAATAAAGACAGTGTTGCAAATGATGATGGGGTAACTGACACTACAGGGATAGCTGCAAGTGCTGGTATGGTAAAGGACGCTAAAGTAACTATTGATGATGATAAAGAGCCTGAATGGCTAACGGAAGGGTTGGAAACAATAGAAGATGAAGATATTTTTGCATCCAAGAAAGATGCTGCTGGAGAATATAACAAAAAAGTTGCTGGAATTGCACCTTTTCTGACTTAACAATCTTTACCTTCACCTTCTTCGACAATTACACATCTTATACTGACAACAATCTTTACCTTTGCCTTCCTTCGACAATTACACATCTTGTACTGGTATCAAAGATCTCTAGCTCTGCTTCCCTCGCTGGCCCCTCTAGAGTTTAAAGAAGACATCATCAAATAGCTCCCTAATTTCCCTTCACTATATAGACAAAAAAAATACAATGTTCACATTTTTACTTTAAATCCCTACAATAGACCTTGTAAGAAAATATTGCAATAGAAAATTCCAAAATATAAAGGTATCTTTCCTCACTTGCAAGCTCAGTTGATTTATCTTTGATCTTCATCAATTTTTGTTTGATATGTTTTTTGCAAGTTTGGGGCGAAATTGATGAAGAAACATGGTCGTTTTATTAAGATCTAAAGGACACAAAAGGTACATCAAATCAAAATTTGTCTCAAAAAACTATTTTTCCAAAGAAACACTCGCAATTCAAGCATGTTTATATCAAACAGATTTGTTCCAACAATTTTCGTCTATTTTTCATTTTAGTTCAAATCATGAGATATCGACACTATCATTTAAAATTACAAGGTTATGTCAAATAGTTCAATCACTCAGAGCATTTTTTACTTGTTGTGCCAGTGTAATTTTCTGCCTACACAGCCACTGCTTTGGCTTGCGCGTCGCGCGGTAAAATAAAATCCATAGAGTAAATTCCCAAAAAGGGGGGGACTTTTTAATCTAACTTCCCAAAGGATTGTGATTTTTAGCCTCTTCCCAAAGGATGAAAAACGCATCCAAGAAATGCGTCTTTTCAAATAAAAACGTAATCTTCAAATACGTTATTTTAATTTTCATAAGTTTATTTAAATAGAAAAAATTGATTAAATAACGCATTAGTGGAATGCGCTATTTTAAAAGTCTCATTTAACGAATGCGTGTTTTGGCCTAAAAATCCATTTTGGAAATGCGTTTATTAGTAAATAAACTCATTTGCTAAATGAGTTTTTAGCATATCTAGGAGTCTATTCCAGTCTCCGATACTAAGAATTATTTCCCCTCAATCCCTCTTAATCTCTTTCTACCCTAACTTCTTCAAGGGCGAAACAAAACACACCACCCATTCAATTTTTTCGTACATCTGATACCACATTCATAGCCAACTTAAGAGCAAGAGTGGTGATTGGGAGACTGGTGAGCTAATTAGGCATATTGTCAGGTAATACTTACAATTTCGAATTTAGCGTTTATGAAATGGATGCATTTAATTATTTTAAAAGAAAAAAAGCAAATCTGAGATGATTCTTTGGTGCTTATTGACAAAGAAAGATACCGTGCAAAGGGCAAGAGTATTTGACAAAGCAAGAGATTCTGGAAAGAAGACTTACAAAAGCACAAGCAGCAATTAGAGAAGCCGCAGCTTCTCATCGAAATTTTTCTGCAATCGCACAATCCTGCCGCTTTTTCCAGTGTGTTTCCTTTGCTTTTTTGTTTAACTTAAATGCATTAATTATTCATTTGCTAACCGATGGATATATACAGAGGTTTCCTTTTCTTTTTTGTTTAACTTAAATGCATTAAAATGCATTAATTATTCTTTTATTAGCAATCCCATCGAAATCCTTTTCCATATCATTGCTTTCCCGACCCCTTTACTTTAATCCAAATATATAAAATTATTATTATTTATTTCTTTCCTAACCAGTGGATATATACAAATTGAATGTAGTAACTAGCAATGAAGTTGGGAGATGATGTAATCCATGATCATACAATTAATTGCTTGGTAAATTATTCTAAAACATGGGGATTTTTTTTTTTAAAAAAAGAATATGTTGAAGTATTCAGGCACATAGCATAAGCACTTTAAGTGAATTCAAAATATAAAGTTTTAAAATATAGTTCCATATTAAATTGAAAGATATTTGGAAAGTATATATATATATATATATGTGTATGTGTGTATATATATATATATAACCATATTAAGGTGGACAATATTTGCAAAAGTTAGAAAAGGAGCAGGGGATTTTCCTAATCAATCCAACAACTTGCTTTCTAAGTCACCCACCAAAATCCTACCTAGCAAAATACTACTGCTACTACAATGCAATGCAATACATATTGCATGTGTTGTGTGTGTTCCTGTGTGCCTTTATTAAATTTTCAAGACTTCGATACATGCAAGACTTTAGATACAAAATGTAAAAGCATATGACATTCAAGACTTTAGATACATGTATGTCTACTCTTTTTCAGTTATTGTTAGGTGGTTCTTGAAATCTTTTCTTATTCTTTACTGGTTGTTGGCGAATATGAATGCTGGATCTATAGATATTGATCTAAATTCATGTATGGTCATGTCAAAATGAAAAGAAATCAGAGATTGCTATAGATTTTTATTTTTGAAAGATTCTTTCATAGTATAGAATGTAATACCTGTGGGCAGCCTAGAAGTTTAGGAGTTACCTACACTTACAAGATATGACTGGTTTTAAAATATATTTTTTATTTATAGTATTTTTCATCATTCGAGATGAATTGACTGCAGTTTACATTGCATTTGAAGGCTTGTTAGCATATGTTTTAATGGATCTTCAACATCCATTGAAGCTTGCTTTATATTGGGATGGTCATATCCAATATTATCCTGAATTGGGATTTATCGGTCCAATTGGCAAGTAGTTACGATCAACCACAAGATAAGATTTGGAGACTTACTAAGTAATATACACTCATATATTGGAGTGGATAAATTAACTGTAGATTTGAAACTCATCTGCAAATATCCTGATCATGGGCCATGGGGTTTCAAATTCTGTCCATTACTAATAATAAACGAAGAGGGAATAGATATGATATTTTCTTTAGCAGCTGAGTACCTAAATACTATGGTTCACATATACATTGTACAAGAATCAGTTCGCAATTGTCGGAAGGGCAATAACATCTTCACCAGTAAAGAAATGGCTCCATACATAAATTTGCTGACACAAGATGTTGAATCTCGATAGTACTTACACCTACAGTTTCATGCACTCAATCTTCTCTTAAGATGAGCATGATGCACGATGGTTGTCATCTTCAAATAATGATATCATTTTTCGTGCTATGAGTAGCATGTCACTTCATTGAAACCCATCCAATTATCATTTTCTTATTTTAGTGTCACAGAATGCACTTGAATATACAGAACATAATGAAACTGCCTATGCTAACCAAGAAAGACAGGTGCTTGTACTAGAAGATGATGTTGGCTGTTCTGGTTCATTTTGAATTGGATCATAATGTAGAAGAAATTGGAACTATGAGAACCATTTTAGCAGCTAAAGAACCTATTGTTGGGGCTGAAATTGGAAATGCACTTGGGATGACTGATGTGATTCATAACTTAGTCCAGAATGAAGTATCTTTACCATCTAGAGATGATGCTTTCATTGACGCTGAACAAGGGTAGTCTGATGAAGACAGTGATTGCAATGTAGAGGTTGAAAATGAACAATGCACTTTTGAGAATGACAATGGTCTTGATAATGTTTGTACTAATAACAATGTAATTTTTAGTCCTAAATTACCTGCTTACGATCCACCCGGAATGCCCTTTTATTTAGATATTGGAGATCTCGACAAATTTGTTGTCACTGGTAGGGGATCTCCTACAAGGATAGACTTTTGGAGTGAAAATAGTGCTGGTATTCGCAAGCATATGCTATTCAATGACAAAGAGCAATTGATGATGGCAGTCCGGCTTTGGTTTATGGAGCAATGTCGCGAGTTTCAAGTTCAAGAGAGTCGAAGTACAACATGGAAAGTAAAATGTTTAAAATCTGATGAAGGCTGCAAATGGCAACTTAGAGCTTGTTTGAAAGCTACACATAAAATTTGAGAAATTACTAAGTTGATTCCAGAGCATACTTACACTTCAACGGCATCATCAAATGATCATAGGCATCTTCAATCGAGGATCATTGCTCGCAGAATTGTGCATTTTATTAAAGAAAATGCACTTGCTAGTGTCAAGCAAGTTCAAGCTCATGTTAAAAAAACTTTACATTATGATGTGTCATACAAGAAAGCATGGATTGCTCGATGTAAAGCCATTGAAATGGTCTTTGGTGACTGGCCAACCTCATTCACAAAGCTACTTAAGTTTATGGCAGCTATAGTATATTATAACTCTGGTACTATTGTTGTTTGGGAACACCGCCCATACTGTTTAGAAAATTTGAAGACATTTGGCTATATGTTCTGGGCATTCAGGCCAGCAATTGATGGTTTTTTGTGTATATCTCAGTTCATAACTTTTGATGATTACAAAACAATTGGATGCTACTAACATTCTTTGAAGAGTTCATTTCAGGATTTGGAACAAAAATCAGATCAAAGACTTGAAGCAAAACTGGATCAAGGTTTGACAAATTACTGTCGGACGCACAAAAGGACCATATCGGAAGGCCGAAAACCATTGAGTAACTTCGGACGCATGAAGAACTCACACTCAGACGTCCGAAGGTAATGTGTCAAAACATCTATGATCACTGGCCTCGTTCAGACACACAATACCTCTATACCGGACGTCCGACAAACGTTGCTATACTTCGGACGCAAAACACTGGAGCATCGGACGTCTGAAAGAAATGAAGAAGGATTTGCAAGTACCTTCGGACGTATATTGTGGAGGGACCGGACGTCCTAAGAATTGCAAGAAATCATCTTGAAATCACTGTCTTCGTTCGGACGCAGAAAATCAGAGTACCGGGCGTCCGACACTACCAACGGCTAGTTGCCTTTTCAGTTGCCTTCTATCCGTTGACAGCATTAATTGAAGAATTTTTTTGTTCCCTATAAATTGGGATTAGTCAACTCTTCAAAACAACTTACACATTAAATCTACATCAGATCTTGAGTGATTCAAGTGTATGAATACTCCAAAAAGAAGATTTGTACTCTTAGTTGTGTCATCTTCTTTTAGCTTTTCAAGTGTGATTCAATTTCTTCAATAGTGTAACTTTGTGAGGGTTAGCCGTGCGATTGTAAAACTTCCTTGCTTGATCAAGTGAGATTTGAGGCAAGGAGAAAGTAATCCTTCATTTGTACACAAGAGATGGGTTGAAAGTTGATCATATTGAAGAATCTTGATATATATAAAGTGATAATCAAACTTAGTCAAGTTTGAAATTTGGTTTGCAATTCCATCCCTTCATTTACTGTCTTGCTATATATATATGTGTGATGCCCCGAAAAGTATGAGTGTGAGAAATCGAAAATTTTTATATATTTTCTTGATATTATTTTGTTTTCTTGTCTATAAGTTTATTTTTTTTAATATATTAATTTTCTATACATTTTTATAAGGAAATATAATTTTCAAATCATTTTCTTGATCCAAGTTAGTCCACGTTAATTTTGAAGTGTATTATGGACGTGGGACCCGCAAGTGCGGTAAATGCAATATATTTTTGACAACTTATTGGAGTTTTGTGTTAACTGATATTTTTCTATAAGGTGTTAAGAGATAATTATGGATTGGTATGAGAGAGATAAAAAGATAAGTTTTAAACCTAAAGGTGACAGGTGTCACCATTCAATTCACTCTTGACTTTGACTATTTAACTTTACCTTTACCATATAACAAAATTGACCCAAAAATCTCTTCTTATTTCTTTCTTGTTGGCCGGCCATGGAGGAGAGAAAGAGAGAGAGAGTTTCTTCAATTTTCCTTCATTTCTAGCTTGAATCTTGCAAACCTACCGGTTAAATTCCAAATTTCTCCACAAAAGTAAGTTGCCAAGCTAGTTTAAGGTGATTAGTGGAGTTGTTTGGAGAATTAAGGTGCCAAGTTGATTCTTTTCTTGCATTTCAAGGTGAGTAGCTAGGGAATGCTTCCTTTGGTCTTGATAATGTCAAAGTAATGATTTGTGGTAGCCTAAGAGAAAATTTTGTGGATTATATCTTGATTTTGGTTGAATTTGGTGAAGTTTTATAATTATTGATGATTTTTCTGATTTAATATGATTCATATGTTGTGGCTATGTATGATGATTGGAAATGATCTAGAATGAAACTAGAAGGTGGAAAAAGTGGTTAATTGCAAGAAATTTAGGTTTTGGAAAGAAATTTGGAAAGTTAGGGTTTCAATTGTTTACATTCTGCCCGGCACAGTACCTCATAGTTAGAGGTCGAATTGGCCTTGGGTTAAAACATAAAAGTTGTAGGGAATGATATTTTAGAAATGTCTACAAAATTTCAGGTCAATCGGAGCAACGTAGCTTGTGAAAAGACTGAATTACCCCTGCTGCCTGTTTCTATCCGAATTTAATAATTGCGTCTGTAATTGGTTATTTTGGTTGGGAATGGTTTGGAATTGATTGTTGAGGTCTTCTGATGAAATGTAGTCTTGTATCATAGCTTTCGGATGGCTTTGGAATCACTTGATTTGGACTTAGGGAGCCTGACTTATGATGTTTGAACTAGAATGCGGTTTGTGAACCTATTTTTGCAGTTCTGGTGTAGTAGATTGCATTTTTAACCTGGTTACACTCGAAACTGGACTGAGTAGCCTTCTTCAACATTGTAGCCCTATCTCTTAGCTTCGAAACGGTGTATCTTGCACCTCCATCCGATAATTGTAGTGCCAATGGTACTTAAACCGCAAACTGATGTCAAAAACTATTTTTATAGTTTAGAGCTTAACTTTCATTTTCGGACTCTTCCCTAACTTGAATTGTACTCGTACTACTTGGAGCTTATTGAACGGTTATTGAATGAACTTATTTGTGTGATTTTGGGACTGGCTGAGGAAATAATGAAGCCTTGACGGCTGGAAAAGTAAGCAAATTTAGTGGAAGTGCTGTCCGAACTTTGAAAGGACTTGATTGCATTGAGTTTGTGATCTAAGACTTGGATTTGAGCAAGACAATGATATATGATGGTTGGTTCCTGAGCCGTGGAGGTGAGTGACACTAAACTGTTTTCAAAGTTACTTTTGAACTGTTTTCTTGCATTATTTACTCGATTACATATCATGCGTACTTGCATGTGAGTGTTCCTTGTTTGTTGTATTTTCTTGACTTCATGACTTGTATTATTGTTTGATAACGTGTTAAGTGCTTTCAATGATTTCCAAAACGAGTTTTCTAGGCGAGTGTGTACTTTATCGCACTCGACCTCGATAAATGTGAAATTTTCAAAGATGAAACGATTGAAATGTTACTTGTGCATGAATGTAAGCCTTTTGGCTGAACTGGCCACTGCCCCTTGTTATTGATCGACTCGAGCCAGAAGCGGACTCGGTCCAGCGATATGGTGACCTGGACGAACGTTTGGTATACTCGAGTATTACCTTGTAGGTTGGTGGAGGTTGGTGGAGCCTGGTCAATATCCAGGAAAGGTTGAATGAACGAACGAACGAGGGTTTTATTGATAAATGAAAAATATATTTTCAAATGAATGAAGGAAAGGGAAATGACAGGAGAACGAACGAAAGAACGAATGAACGAACGAACGTATCTTTTTCATGTATGGTTTCTTATAAATGTTGTAATTGTTTCTTGACTTATCGTTTGATTTATGATATCATTGAAATAAACTATTGTGAAACCAATTTGATTACTGATTTTACTGGTTATTCGCTGAGCTTTTAGCTCACCCCAAAACTATTTTATTCCTCTCCACAGGACTCAAGGCGAAGGAAGGACTTGTAGTACTTATTCACGTGACTGGATGGCTTATATCTTGTACAGTTTGGATTTGGATTCATTTGATGTATAGTTGGAAATCGTTTCCGTTTCGCTTATAACATGTAATTATTGGAGAATTTGATGTAATTTTTGAGATTTATATTGTAATCTGTTTGAGAAATGTAGTGAATGACTGAGTCCCGGCGAGAGTTGAGCAGGCGGCCACGCCGCGCTTTGCTTTGTTCGCCTTAGGGGGAGGTGGGGCTGTCACAATATATATATATTGCTTACTTGTTTTACTCACAAATTACTTATGCTAGTCCATCAACTGCTTTTCAGTGAGGTCCTCTTGAAAAATAAAACTAGATCAGAAAAAAAGGGGTGACTCATATCTTGGCTTATTTTTAGATAACCTAATTCACCCCCCTCTTAGGTTGTTTTCGATCCTTACAATTGGTATCAGAGTTTGGTCTCCTTGAGATTAAGCTCAATCGGCTTAGGAGTAAATATGACAACCAACAATGCCATGTTCTTTGAGAGACAATCAGTAACTAGACCTCCTATGTTCAATGGTTCAAAATATGTGAGTTGGAAGGAAATGATGATTGTTTTCTTACAATCTATTGATATTGAACTATGGTTTACTGTCAATAAAGGTCCGTTTGATGCCTTTACTATTGATGCAGAGACAAACAGGTCGAGATCAAAAACAAAAAGGGAACTAACTGTTGAAAATAGAACTCAGGCGATGAATGTACTGTACAGTGCTTTAGACTCAAACGAATCTGTTAGAGTCAAGGGCTGTAAATCTGCAAAAGAAATCTGGGACAAATTTCGAGAAATACACGAAGAAAGTGAAAATATGAGAGAACAGAAGAAGTCCATTCTGATCACGAAATATGAATCTTTTAAGATGAAATCTCACGAAAATATTGACAAGATGTATTGCAGATTCAATGATTTTATTAAGGATCTAGAAGTTCTTGAGAAAGATTACTCTCTATGTGAGAAAAATAAAAAAATTCTGAATGCTCTATCAAAGGATTGGGAGAGCAAAGTGACTGCCATTGAGGAAACCAAATATCTGAACACTTTATCTATTGAATCCCTTATAAATTCACTAATCTCTTACGAGCTAAAACTCAAGTCTAAGGTGCAGAAAGAAGAAAACACAAGAGTTAGAAAGATCATTACTCTGAAGACTTCACAAGAAGAAGATGATACAATCTCTCTGGATGGAGATGACATGGAAGGTGATGATAGTGACATTGCACTCATCACACGAGGTTTCAAAAGAATATTCAATAAGAGAAGATTCAGAAAAAAGACATAGCAATTCCTTTCCAAATCAATCCAACAACTTCAGAAATAAAGGAAAGATGGAATTTAACAAAAAGCAAACTGATAAGTGCTTTGAATGCAGCCAACCTGGTCACTATGCAAATGAATATCTAATGAAGAAAAAGAAGGAGAACAAGAGTGAACGAAAATCAAAATTCAACAATTTTCAAATCACTTGGAATTACTGCAATTCAGAAGGAGAAATAGAGGAAGAAGAGGAATCTGCCTAAGTTGTTTTCATGGCCATTGGAGATGAAGAGGTAACCCAATATAACTCTCAAACTGATAGTGATAGTGAGTCTAATGTTGATATTAA